CGTGAATTCGGCAATGAAGTCGGATAAGACTTGTGCTTGATTGCAGTCCTCGGTTGATAGTGAATGCCGAACTGTCCGAGTTCGACGACCCATTTTATCATTCGCCCCGAGGTGTCAGGTCGGTGTAGGACCTGTCGTAGTGAATACGAAGTGCGGACAATTATGGAATGTTCTTGGAAATAAGGTCGCAATTTTCGAGCAGCGGTGACAAGTGCGAGTGCCAACTTCTCCATAAGGGGATAACGAAGTTCGACATCATGTAGGGCTTTGCTGACATAATAAATAGGTGACTGTAACGTCCCTTCTTCACGTATTATGACAACACTGATTGCGGCGTCACTGACTCCGAGGTATAAGAATAGCATTTCCTCGGGTTTTGGCTTCTGTAACGTTGGAGGTGACGCATGAGTTTCCTTAATGCTGGTGAGTGCTTTTTGACACTCTTCGGTCCATTCAAAGCGTTTTCCTTTTTTGATTGCTTCAAAAAATGGTTTGCAACGATTCATAGACTTGGAGATGAACTAATTAAGTGCGGCAAGTCGGCCAGTTAGGGCCTGAACACCCTTGACCGAGGTCGGGGGCGTTAAATCTTAAATGGCTTTTATCTTGGCCGGGTTGGCCTCGATTCCCCGTTGGCTGACCATATACCCAAAGAATATTAAAAATAATCTAAAAATATCCTAAAGTTGAATGCTCGCAATCGAAAGGTCCTATAATAAAGAAGAACGCACGTAAAGAGGTGTTCACACGCGATCCATTCTTTCATCTTTCCAAGGTGCCTTGGATGTAGGTTTTTGTCTTGGTCAAGAAACTTTCCGGACTCGAGTCCAAAGGTGCACTTTTTAGGATTTAAGACCATGGAATAAAAATAGAGGATATTGAACATTTCGTGAAGGTTGGTAACATGTTCAGGGGTATGCACCGGCTTGACAAGCATATCGTCTACGTAGACTTCCATGGTATGGCCTATTAAATTGGCAAACATCTTGTTGACAAGACGTTGATACGTGGCACCAGCATTTTTTAACCCAAAAGGCATCATGGTATAACAATATAAGCCTCGAGCCGAATAAAACGAGGTGTGCTTCGAATCCTCGGGATCTATAGGAATTTGATTATAACCGGAGTAGACATTCATAAAGCTCATCAGCTCGTGTCCCGTGGTGGCATCAACCATATAATCTATATGTGGAAGCGGGTAACTGTCTTTTGGGCATGCTTTATTTAAATCGGAGAAGTCGATACATAACCTCCAAAGGCCATTACTTTTCTTGATAAGGACTGGGTTTGAGACCCATGTCGGATACTTGGCTTCCTTAATGAATTTGTTGTCGATGAGTTTCTTGACTTCCTCTTCCAATGCTTTATGACGGTTTGGCCCCAATTTTCTTCGCTTTTGAACAACCGGCCGGACAGTTCGGTCAAGATTTATTTTGTGGTGCCCTTCATGTCTTCGTGTTCCCAAGCGAAAACATCAAAATTACTTATGAGAAACGAGATGAGTTCCGACCGGAGAGGCTCTTGAAGGTGGCTCCCAATGCGTAATAGTTTTTGGAAGAATGGTTCATCGATGTAAATCAACTCTACTTCTTCTTCGGGCTCAGCTCGATCACTTTGACTTTTCTCTTTGAACTGGGTCCTTGGATCCAACTCATCTTCTTCTAAGATTGGTTCTTTTCCGGGCCGTCTACCTCGGTCTTCAGATAAGGGATCCGAAGTGACGGGGACAACGATTTCACGATTCGGTTCTTCGGACATGGTATCCGAGGTGACTGGTGGTGAGGGATTTTCTTCGTTGGCCGAAGTGATGGAATGGACTCTGGTAGATGGTATGAAAGTGATAAGTTCTCGAGCTTCTCTTTGATCTCTGAAATGTGTTCCTTCACCACGCGTCGTCGGGAATTTGAGTGCGTAATGGAAAACTGAAACTGTGGCTCGGAGTTTGTACAGAGCAGTTCTTCCGATGATCGCGTTATACTCGTTGTTGATGTCAAGAACTTTAAAGGTTTCCATAACAATTTTAGTTACATTTTCCGAAGTGCCAAATCTGACAGGCAAGGTGATTTCGCCGCTGGGCTTCGAAATGCTTCCATTAAATCTATGTATCTGATCATTACAAGGTCGGATATCCGCTGGGTCAAGTCCCATTTTGTCGAAAGCTTTTAGCATCAAAATACTTGAGTAGGATCCAGTATCAACATGACACGGTGAACCGGGATCCCACATATTGGAATGATAATCACAAGTGCGTCGGAATGAGGGTGTGCAAAATCATTCGCATCCTCCATATTGAAAGTAATGGGACAATTCCGGGCATTGAGAATGTCTCTCAGATCAGTGGTGTAAACTTGTTTGCCGGAGTTGTAAGCTTATCGGGCGTGGGCCTTGATTTGTCGACGAGATAAGGTACTCTGGGTATTGTTGGTGTTTACTCGATGGACAGTGATTTGCATCGGGCTAGAAGATCGACTTCGCTTGCATCCTCGGGTGGTTCCAGTTGAGTTGGAATCAAGTGTTTCTGAGGTAAACATAAATACTTCTTTGTCTCCTTGCCGAATGCGTTTCGGCATAACACCTCGGTCCTCCTCTTTATCTTCATCATAAGATTCAATTTGACGTCCCGACCCTCGTTTCTGGGGATCCGTATTGAGATAGAACTTCCTGAGTTGTGGATGACCGATTAAACGCAACAAGGCAGCTAACAAACTCAAACATTCATCAGTGTTGTGCCCCAGTGATTTGTGATAGTCGCAATATCGAGATTTGTCCAATTTTTCCTCGGGCATCGGAAGTAGTTTAGGATCGGGAAAAATACCTTTCCTTTTGATCTCTTTATATATGGTGGAGGCCCCAACTGAATACACGGTTTGGTAACCTAATTTTACGTCGGTAGCATACTGTTTCCGGGCTGCTCATATTTCAGGGTCGTTGGCGTCTCCTCGGGGGTATCCTCTGAATTGAGCTTTGTTTTGTTTGTCGAAGGATTTATTTTTCTTTTTCTAGTTAGTTCCCGACTTCGATGACTTCGGATTGAAATTAAAATCGGGGACCGACATGGCTTCCTAGGCAATGATATGCTATTGGGCTCGAGTAAGGAATTCCTGGAAGGTGTTCGGCTTATTCTGGCACAATGTCCAGCGGAAAATCGAGTTAGGTTTTAGGCCGGCGATAGCCATAACGAGCAGAGTTTCAGAATGACATGGATCCATGTTTTAAACTCGGTCATTAAATCGAGCTATATAGTCTTTGACGCTTTCGTCATCTTTTTTAGTCACATTTGCAAGGGATTCTTTTGGAATCAGACAAACTTGGGCCTCGATGAAGTGAGATCGGAAAGCCGACCTCAACTGTTGCCACTTCCAAATAGAATGAGGGGGCAAAGAGTGGTACCATTTCTGAGCTCGAGGCCCCAGAGTTAAGGAAAACATACGACACCGAAGAGCGTCCGAGGCTTCATGCAGTTCCATCCATGATGTGTAGTGACCGAGGTGGGAGTCGGGATCTGAGGTCCCATCATACAGTCCGATTTGAGGAACTTTGACTTTCCCGTGTACAGGTTCCGAAGTGAGCTCAGGCGTGAGAGGGGAGTCGGCTTCCAGGTATACTTACACTGAGGTCGAGGCCCGTCGAGGAGGATCTTCGGGCATCCTTTGCCGACTCTCCAATTCGGCGATCCGTTGTCACAACATTTCCAGTTTGGAGGATTCTTGTCGAGCTCGGTTTCTTTCAATGTGTTGACGAAGGTCGGTCTGCGCCGGGTTGGAGAGGCTTCGGTGTCGTGTTTGAGGTGGCGAACGCCGTGAATGTCTAGATTGACTCTAGGCGGTTTCTTCGTGAGGATTCTCCAGGGGAGCACGCCCAACATCAGCGTGACATGTGGTTTGTTCCGGGTGCAGCTGCGACGTTCGACTGCAAGGTTACGATGTGACGTGAGACGTAGTTCTGCCACCGTCTTGTCGTACCAGTAGAATCGGTGGATTAACGGGAGTTGCGGGTATTATTGAATGTCCTGGGACAGTCGTGGATATTCCAGGGATTGTTTGAGCCATCAGGGTGGCGAACCCACGTGCAAACTCCAGATTTTGGAACAAAATAGTATAATCTGGTATGTTCGGGACCGCCGCTTGTCGTCTTGCGGATTGGGCGGCACTACAACTGTGGCCATCTCGCGACATGTGACCACAATGATCCGAATGAGACATAATAGCAACAATTGATGTGGGTGATAAAACAAGAATTGGAGATTGACCTCAAATAACTTATGAGGCCCTCCTTCTAGCGCCAAACTGTTGTTATGTGAATGTTAACAACGATCTGAGGATGGATTTACTTGTTGATTATAAATGTTTTGAACGTAACGTATGTATGAAATACTCAACAATGGCCTCGGTCCGAGGTGAACCGAGGTGAAAAGCTTCTGTGAGCTGTTTCGTGTTTCATTATAGAGGTGTTTTTTTTTTGGTTCGGGAATCGAATCCCATACAAGTATTATTAGCTCGCTATTTATAATAACCTTTTTGATATACATATCGGGATTCGTGCATTGCTTTGCCCATAAAGCTACTTGTGGTGGGTGGCAGAATCAGTGGGTCCCACTTGAATGATAGCTGATCTCGTAGTTCGTGAGAATGGCGTGTAGGCGCCTTGTCACCTGCTTAAGAGGTGACGACCTCGGTTCATGTTGATTTCGGTTTGGGTGACCTCGGACAGTAATGATCACTTCGGTCTTCTGGGGTTATACCGGTTTGTCATGCGGACCGGGGAGACTTTGGGCCATGTCGGTGTAAGCTGTCTAAGACGTTGTTCGAGGATCTTAACAGTGCATTACAGAGTCAGATGATAACAAAGATGGCGCTAGAAGTGCATTACTGAGTCAGATGATAACATATACGAAGGAGATCCGAAGGCAACAGGAGAGAGGAGAAATGCTGCCAATCCAGTCTTGCGGCTGTAACATATTTAGTGACAGGCCAATATAGTTGATCCTCTGGAATAACCCCTCAAGCCCGAGTGATTAAATCCTCAGAAAAGTTCAGCCAATTATCCCACCAAAAGAGAATACGAGACCCGTCACCAATGGACCATCTAGTACCCTTGACAACATGCGGACAGACCCTCGCAATTGCACGCAAAATGACTGAGCCCGACGGAAAGTGATAACCATCCGACATAGTGTTCGGGTGGAGTTTATACTTGGCACATAAAACCCGTACCCATAAAGCTTCCAGTTTACTCAATAGACCCCAACCGAGCTTCATAAGGAGAGCCATATTCATGCGTCGCTGGTTTTTTAGCCCCAACCCACCCTTCTCCTTAGGCGTGCAGAGTGAGCTCCAATTGACAAGGTGGACTTTTCTAACAGATTGAGAACTACCCCAAATGAACCTACGACAGCATTTTTCCAACCCATCACAGATCGCCGAAGGTATCCAATCGGTTTGCAATAATAAGGTAAGCTACTCACCACCGTCTGGATTAATGTAACCCAGCCAGCCAAAGACAATGACGAAGATTTTCATCCATCTAGTCGGTGCTCCCCTTTCTCCACAATCCCTTCATATGTGTGCTTATTGACCCGTCCATGAATTACCGACATGCCGAGATATTTTCCCAAGTTATCAAACCTCACAAACCCAGTTCTATGAGCCAGCTGATTTTGGACATGTTCGTTCATATTTGATGAGAAAAAAATGCTTGTCTTCGACACACTTGCTTTCAAAGCCCGAGTTATGAGATAAAATGGATAGCACCTCGTTGAGCACATCCACCTGGTCTGTAGAAGCCTCCATAAACAATAATAAATCGTCCGCGAACATGAGATAAGGGATTGTCACCTCCCCAAGACCTACCGAAATTGGGCGCCACGCACCTTGTTGAACTCGGTGCTGAATAAGATGAGCTAGTCTCTCCATCGCCAAAACAAAGAGGTACGACGAAATGGTGTCACCCTGACGAACACCTCGGGACAGTGTGAACTCCTCCGAAATAGTGTCATTAAATTGAAGTTGCATGGACGCCGAAATTAGACATGTCATTGTTGGTGTTATATACTTAAGCTTTGCTTTAGTGGATATTACACTTGTTATTTCTTGATGAATGAGAATTATGTTTGGTTAAATAAGTTCCACGTTCTGTTGTTTTGCATGTAGATAAGTGGGTCGTCATCGGGCATACCGAAGATCACTATATCAGTTACTTGCGAAACAAGAATCGTTGGTTCACAACCTAGATGGAATTGAACAACCCATCGGAACGGTTGTAGTGTCAACCGTACGGTTTGTCTTGACCGATTAGTTACACTAGTACATTTATGTATTGAACAGGATCCCAGAGAGGGATGTTCGTTTTATACTGATCGTCGTAAACAAACTAGGCCACAGTTAATTATTGCGTGCTCTTAACCCGTAAGATATTAAAAAGGCA